ATGGTAGGTAAAGTCAGAAGATTTCTAAAATTCCTCTATGTGCAGTTTCTGAATGCTCAAAGACCATGTGTGCCACACAGTTCAAGATGCTGTCAGTGAAGTGAATAAGATGGTTTCTGGGATCAGGAAACTTAAGCCAATCAGAATGCCATATTAGGAAACTGGCACTTTTGTAGACAGTTGGGAACCAGCTGAAATTGTTTGGTTAGGTAAGCTGTGTTTTAGGGAGATTATTAGCAGTGTGTATGGGATAGAATAGACGTGGAAGGATGAGAAGGGCGACATTATGTGTGTGAGTGATGCTAAGGCCTCAAGGAAATGTTGGTGTGATCAGCAAGAAATAGAAAGATGTCATGGTACATCCCAGAGGAAGGAGTTGTTAGATTTATTGAGGTGTGATTGGCAAACAAAATTTACTAATTGTAACTGTGTATACCAAATATATACAGTCATATGGCCACCAGCACAATCATGATAGATTCCTATCACCATAAGAACTTGCCTTGAACTCCTTTGTAGTCAGTCTCATTCCCCTGGCTTCTGGCAATCACTGATGTGCTTTCTCTTGCTATAGTTTGCCTACTATGTTTTTCGTTGTTGTTGTTATTGTTGTCGTTAGGTTATTTTGAGACCAAACTGTTGCCCAGGCTGGAGTGCAGTGGCGCCATCTTGGCTGACTACAACCTCTGCCTCCTAGGTTCAAGCAATTCTCCTGCCTCAGCCTCCCAAGTAGCTGGGATTACAGGTGTGTGCTGCCCCGGTCCAGCTAATTTTTGTATTTTTAGTAGAGACAGGGTTTCACCATGTTGGCCAGGCTGGTCTTGAACTCCTGACCTCAAGTGATCCTCATTTGCCTGCTATGAAACTACACTTTCATATGGGATCATTGAGTATGTAATCTTTAATGCCTGGCTTCTTTCACATAGCATATTGCTTTTGAGATACATCTGTACCTCATGTGTCTTGCATCAGTCCTTTCTGTTTTATTACTGAGTACTGTTATATGGATAGGTGACAGTTTGTGTCGGTTTACCAGCTGGACATTCAGGTTGTTTCTAGTTGTTATGAATAAAGCTTCATTGAACACTTAGATAGAAATCTTTGTGTTTGTTTTGAGGAAGCACCTGGGAGTGGAATTGTTGGCCGTAAGCAAGTCTATGTTTAACTTTATAAGAAAGCGCCAAACTTTTCCAGAATGGTTATGCCATTTTGCATTTCCATTAGCAATGTATGAGGTTTCTAGCTTCTAGTTCTCCAATTTTTTTTTTTTTTTTTTTTTTTTGGAGATGGAGACTGTTACCCAGGCTGGGGTGCAGTGGTATGATCAAAGCTCACTGCAACCTCAAACTCCTGGGTTCAAGCAATTCTCCCATCTCAGCCTCCTGAGTGGCTAGAACTACCGTGCATACCACTACACCTGGCTAATTAAAATAGTTTTTTTTTTGTGGAGGCAGGGGTCTCACTGTGTTGCCCGGCTGTTCTCGAACTCTTAGCCTCTAGCTGTTCTGCCTCAGCCTACCAAACTTTTGGGATTATAGATGTGAGCCACTGCGCTTGGCCTAATTCTATAAACCTTTGCCATGAGTTTTTAATTTTAGCCATACTAGGGGTGTGCAGTGGTATTTTATTGTGATTTTAATTTGCATCTTAATTACTAATGATGAACATCTTTTCATATGCTTATTTACTAGACATTTATCTTTTTTGGTGAAGTCTCCAGGTTTTTTGGCCCCTTTTTATTGGGTTGTCTTACTGAATTGTAAGAGTTCTTAATATAATCTGTCTGCAAGTCTTTTTTTTTTTAAAGATGGAGTCTCACTCTGTAACCCAGGCCGGAGTGCTGTGGTGTGATATCGGCTCATTGCAGCCTCTACCTCCCGGGTTCAGGTGATTCTCCTGCCTCATCTCCTGAGTAGCTGGGGCTATGGGCACCTGCCACTATACCCAGCTAATTTTTGTGTTTTTTATAGAGATGGGCTTTCGCCATGTTGGCCGGGCTGGTCTCAAACTCCTGACTTCAAGTGATCCACCCACTTTGGTCTCCCATGGCCTTGTCTGCAAGATTTTTGTTGGATGTTTTGCAAATATTTTCTCTCAGTCTATGGCTTGCCTTTTTATTTTTTTATGACTTTTCAAGAACAATTTTTAAAATTTGGTAAAGTCAAATTTAGCCATTTTTCTTCTGTAATTTTTTTTTTTTTCCAGTTTATGTTTGCTTAATTTGAGGCCACTAAGATATTTTTTTCTGTTTTAGTTTGGAAGTTCTGTAGTTTTTGTTTTTTTAAATTTTTATTTAATTTTTAAAAATTTTACTTGGCAATGATTTGAAGCTCATTTTTGTTTTATTAGGCTGGAGTGCAGTGGCTGTCCACAGATGTGATCATGGTGCTTTTTAACCTCAAACTCCTGGGCTCCAGTGATCCTTCCTCCTCAGCCTCCTGAGTGGCTGTGACTCCATCTGGCTCTAGGAGGGCTATAGTTTTAACCCTTACATTTAGATATATGATTTTGAGTTAATTTTTATATATAGTGGCATCTAAAATAGGGATTTGCCTTTTTCATATGGATATCCAATTTTTCTGGTCCCATTGTCCTTTCCTCATTGAAATGCCTTGACACTGTTGTCAAATCATTTGGTTATATATGTGGAAGTCTCTTTCTGGATTTTGTTATATTCCATTGCTCTGGATATCTATCTTGATGCCAGTATGATGCTGTCGTATTTCCTGCAGCTTTATAACCAGCCTTGAATCATGTAAACGTTAAACCTTTCTTTTTCTTTCCACCCACCCAGAATTTTTTTGGCTAGACTTTGCATTTCCACCTGAATTTTAGAATCAGCTGCGTATGGTTATGCATATCTGTAATCCCAGCAGTTTGGAAGACCAGAGTGGGAGGATCCCTTGAGGCCAGGAGTTCAAGACCAGCTTGCACAACATACTGAGACCCTGTCTCTACAAAAAAATTTTTAAAAATTGGCCAGGTGTGGTAGTCCTCACTTGTAGTTCTAAGCGCTTGGGAGTCTGAGGTAGGGGAATCACTTGAGCCCGAGAGCTCGAGGCTACAGTGAGCTATGATCAGGCCACTGTACCCCAGGCTGGTGACAGAGAGAGATTTGTTTCAAAAAAAAAACAAAAGTTAGAATCATTCTTTCAAATTCTTTTTTTTTTTTTTTTTTTTTTTTGAGACGGAGTTTCGCTCTTGTTACCCAGGCTGGAGTGCAATGGCGCGATCTCGGCTCACTGCAACCTCCGCCTCCTGGGTTCAGGCAATTCTCCTGCCTCAGCCTCCTGAGTAGCTGGGATTACAGGCACGTGCCACCATGCCCAGCTAATGTTTTGTATTTTTAGCAGAGACGGGGTTTCACCATGTTGACCAGGATGGTCTCGATCTCTTGACCTCGTGATCCACCCGCCTCAGCCTCCCAAAGTGCTGGGATTACAGGCTTGAGCCACCGCGCCCGGCCTCATTCTTTCAAATTCTACAAAAAGTTTGCTGGGATTTTTATTGGGAAGGTATTGAATCCATAGACCAATTTGGAGAGACCTGACATCTTAACAATATTGAGCCTTCCAATCCATGAACATTGTATAGAACTCTGTTATTTATGTTGCCTTTCATTTCTGTCAGCAGTGCTTTATAGTTTTCAGTGTCCATGCATTGCATATTTTGTGAAATTCATCTCTAAATATTTTGTATGTTTGGTATACTGTTACAAATGCATTATCTTAGCCTGTACATTGATAGCGTAGAGCTTTGATAACGTGAAATGAAAGAGGAAGAAGACTTTGATTTGAGGAAGATGGGAAGTTTGATTTTGGACTCGTTGAGTTTATAGTACCATTTGGTCATTCTTTCAGCAGGAGGTATTGAAAGAAAGAGATTTGGGTCCACTATTATAGCAGTGACAGTAAAGTATGGGCGTGCATGAGACCACCTTCAAGGAAGAAAATTTAGCAGAAGTTGAGTTCTAGGTCTGAACCTTGCAGGACTGTACCCTTTTAGAAAGTGGGTGGTCAGAATAGGAGGTGAAGGATCTGTAACAAGGTTAGGAAGAAAGTGGAGTACAGTTAGGAAGCCAAGTTTTAAGAGTGGGGTGATTGAGAGTCGGGTGCTGCAGGGAGATGGAGGAGCTCGAAGAATAAGGAAAAGGTCATTGAAGTGGGTGATTTTATCATTGTGACTGTTTAGTAGAGTGAGGTGAGTAGAAGCCCAGTTCCAGAAGGTTTGGGAGGGAAGGCAGGGAGTAGTGACTAAAGAGGACTCTTAAGAAATTGGTGGAGAAGGCAAAGCGTGTGGTTGACGGGCAGTCAGGAGCACAGCTGTGGAAGAGATGTTTGCCTCAGGGTGGGAGGTGTCACTTGAGGGTGAGGAGGGAAGCTTGGAGAAAGGCATGTCTTGGAGATGCAGCGGCTATCATGGCATGGGGTCTGGTAAGAAGTGAGAGGTTACAGAATTCTAGGCATCCAAGATAGATAACTGCTTGCTTCCCCTTTCGTTTGGCTCTATGTGTCGTTTTAACATCTGATTCTTTTTTTTTTTTTGAGCCAGAGTTTCACTCTTGTTGTCCAGTCCGGAGTGCAATGGCACGATCTCGGCTCACCGCAACCTCCGCCTCCTGGGTTAAAGCGATTCTCCTGCCTCAGCCTCCCAAGTAGCTGGGATAACAGGCGTGCACCACCACGCCTGGCTAATTTTGTGTTTTTAGTAGAGATGGGGTTTCTCCATGTTGGCCAGGCTGGTCTTGAACTCCCGACCTCAGGTGATGAACCCACCTCGGCCTCCCAAAGTGCTGGGATTACGGTTGTGAGCCACTGCGCCCAGCCAACATCCTCATTCTTTTTTTTTTTTTTTGGGGGGGGGGCTCCCTGCAATCTCTGCCTCCTGGGTTCAAGCAATTCTTCTGCCGAAGCCTCATGAGCGGCTGGGAGTACAGGCATGAACCGCCACGCTCAGCTAATTTTTTTGTATTTTTAGTAGAGACAGGGTTTCACCTTGTTTGCCCAGACAGTCTTGATCTTCTGACCTTGTGATCTGCCTGCCTCGGCCTCCCAAAGTGCTGGGATTACAGCTTCCTAATTCTTTAAAATCACCTACAACAGGGGAACAGGGGTTGTTTGGCCTCTCAGCCAAATCTGATCTGAGACTTGTTGACTTGTTTTTGTGCAGTCCTTAAGCTAAGAATTTATGTATATGTTATGCATGTAATACATAAAAATAACCTGTAAATATTAACTATATTTTAAATATTTTTAACTGGTTGAAGAAAAATCACATCAAATGTATCATGATGTGAAAATTATATAAAATTCAATTTTTAGTGTTCATAAATATTTTTAGTCCTTAAGCTAAGGAGGTATGTATATGTTATACATAAAATATAGAAAAATAAAAAATGCAGGGAAGCATGTGAAAGAGACAGAGAACCAGAATAAGAGGGTGGCGTTGTGGTTGTGGTTGCTGTGGGTGCTGAAATAAGGGAAGAAAAGGGATGGACAACAGTGTGATGTGCTGTCAGAGGTCTAGGAGGAGAGCCACTGGCAGGAGTCCACTGGATTTGGGAATTGGAAGGTCATGGCTGAGAGGAGTTTCAAGGGAATGGTGGGACAGAACCAGGGAATGGCAGGTGAGACAGTGGTGTGTGGTAGCTGAGATGGAGGGGCTGAGGGTTTCAGATGTGATGTGGAAGTGGGAAGCTTTAATAGATAGAGACTCGAACTGGTTCATGTGCTGGCCTGAACCACCCAGTTGAAAGAGAGACTGGAGTTGCAGGAGATGGGGTGTGGATGATAAAGCAAAGGTACTGAGGAGTGTGGTGAGATTTGGGGAGCACATGGGGGATTAAACTTGGAAGGGAAGGAGATACCCTCTTTGAGGAAGCAAAGGGGGTGTGGGAATCATTGCTGGGGCTGTGGGAGTTATTGGCAGTATTTCTCAGGGCATTGGGCTGGAATGAGGCAGGTTGGATTGGAGATGGGCTTGATGGCAGTGTCAAGATTCGGAATGTCTGTGGTGTGGAGTGGGGAGTGGGGAAGGGACCAAGGCCCGGGGAATGATTGTAGCAGCGCTGTGGAGCCACGGAGACTTTGATTGATAAATTAAAGCTGCCAGTTTGCATGGTTGCATGAGTCCCAGTCTCATCCCTTCTCAAGACTCCAGACCCCAGGTGAAGGAGAAGTTTCATGACTGTTTGCTTCCTCAGGGAAGCCTTTCCTCACCTCTTAAATTAACTTTATAGGCTCTCATAGGTGTTTTTGCCTTCCAGGTCTCTAATGTAGAGTTGTAGTTTTGCATTTGACTGTTGTAATTATTTTAATTATAAATTATAGCAAAAGTTATTTGACTTCTGGCCGGGCGTGGTAACTCATGCCTATAATCCCAACACTTTGGGAGGCCGAAGTGTGAGGATCACTTGAGGCTAGGACTCTTCAGACCAGCCTGGCCAACATGGCAGTACAAAAATTAGCCAGGCATGGTGGTGCTGCCTGTTGTCCCAGCTGTTTGGGAGGCTGAGACAGGAGAATTGCTTGAACCCGGGAGATGGAGGTTGCAGTGAGCCAAGATTGCGCCACTGCACTCCAGCCCAGGCAATAGAGTGAGATTCTGTCTAAAAAAAAAAAAAAAAAAAAAATTGTTGACAGGCGCAGTGGCTCCCGCCTGTAATCCTAGCACTTTGGGAGGCCAAGGTGGGTGGATCACAAGGTCAGGAGTTCGAGGCCAGCCTGGCCAACATAGTGAAACCCTGTCTTTACTAAAAATACAAAAATTAGCTGGGCATGTTGGTGCTCACCTGTAGACCCAGCTACTCCACAGGAGAATCGCTTGAATCTGGGAGGCAGAGGTACGGTGAACCAAGATTGCACCACTGCACTCCAGCTTGGGCGACAGAGCAAGACTTTGTCTCAAAAAAAAAAAAAAATTGTTTCTCTTTGTTTTTGTCAGTAACTCGGAGCTCTGAGGACAGATATATAAGAGCACGCGTATCATTGTGCAGGGTCCAGCACCTAGTGGACACTGGACAGATGCTTGTTGTGTTACATGAATCAAAGACAGTGGTGTTCTCAACCTTTTTACCTGCCCAGTGCACCTGTGGAAGTTGACTTGCCTCCTTCTGAACCCTTATTGACTGCCCTGATTGTCACCTGAAGGACAGGTGTCAGGGTTGGGGATAGTTAATATTATCACAGGCCCTGGAATAAGAATGTCGGGGGCTGGCTGTGGTGGCTCAGGCCTGTAATCCAAGCACTTTGGAGGCCAAGGTGGGCGGATCACCTGAGGTCGGGAGTTCAAGACCAGCCTGACCAACATCTTGGTGAAACCCCATCTTAAAAAAAAAAAAAAAAAAAAAGAATGTTGGGCTCAGATCCCAACCCGTCCTCTCACCAGCCTTGCAGCCCAGGGGAATCATAACCTCTCTGTGCCCAGTGTCCTCCCCTGTAAAATGGGGGTGGAATGTAGCAGTACCTGCGTCATAGACTGGTCGTAAAGATGACATGAAGCTGAGCACAGTGGGATGTGCCTGTAGTCCCAGTTATGGGAGGCTGAAGCAGGAGGAATGGTTGAGTCCAGACGTTTGAGTCTGGCCTGGGCAACATAGTGAGACCTTCATTTCTTAAATAAAAAAAAAAAAAAAAAGAAAAAAAAAAAACGTTAAATGAGGGAATTTATATAAAGCTTTTAGAAGAACATGTAAAAATTAGGAAATTGTTATTACTGTTAGTGGTTTCAGAAAATCTTGTAGGTGATTTTGGTAGCTTTTTCTCCTGGAGACACCCAGCTTTTGGGAAAGGATTGGCAGGGCAGGTGCCTGTCGACATCTTTGTGTATATCTCTTTATTGTCATCTACTGAACAATGAGCTTCTGAGAGGAGAAATCCCTGTAACCATGATGGTCTTCCTTCTCCAGCACCCTGAAACAAAGCCATTCTTCTTTTTTTTTTTTTTGAATGAATATTTTAAAAAATGTAGAGACAGCATGTTGCCAGGCTAGTCTCGAACTCCTGGGCTCAAGTGATTCCCCCTGCTTTGGCCTCCCAAAGTTTGGGATTACAGGTGTGAGCCACTGCACCCAGCCCTCGAAGCCATTCTTGGTCCTGTAGAACTAGAACTAAGAAATAGTAGAACCGTCAAGGGGCCGGTCACTTGGGCGTCTTTCCCATCTGTGTGATGACGGCACAGTGAATGCTGCCTGCTTTACACCAGCCACGGTAAACTTGATGCTTTGTTTGCTTTGCAGAGGAGGTGGCCAAGTTGGAGAAGCACTTGATGCTTCTTCGGCAAGAGTATGTCAAGCTGCAGAAGAAACTGGCAGAGACAGAGAAGAGATGCACTCTCTTGGCTGCGCAGGCGAACAAGGACAGCAGCAGTGAGTCCTTCATCAGCCGCCTGCTGGCGATTGTGGCGGACCTCTACGAGCAGGAGCAGTACAGGTGAGCTCCTGGACACCAGAGGCCCCTGGGCTTTGCTCCTGGGCCAGGCGACAACTTTTGTCATTGACTTTCTTCACAAATGTATTTTTCTCTCTAATATCATGAGGATATTACCAAATCTTTATTCCCCAGAATAGAAGCTCCTTGAGGCAAGATTTTTTTCTCTCCTATTTACTGCTTCAGCAAAGTGTCCGGGAGTCATGGTGATAGCATTGCGAATGCAAACGGGAATTGGCTTACATGTCTAGGAATTCAGAGGGCAAAGATCCGTTTCTCTTGAGATGGTCAGAGGAAAACAGGCTTGGAACTAGTCGGAGAGTACCTCCTGATGGTTGAGGGTGAAGCCTGCCGCAGCTCAGCTGGCCACGTCCTAGCTGTGTGACCTCATTCTGTGTGACATGCCTCAGAGTCCTGATCTGTCAAATGAGGTCACTACTGCCACTTACCTTCAGGTTGTTGTGAGGATCAAATTAATCAACACAGGTTAAGCAGTTAGGCCACTGCATGGCACGCAGTAAGTGCTCAGTTGTTAACTGTTGTTATTCTTTTTAAAACTTATGAAAAGTTTTTCGCCGGTTAATAGCAGCAATAGGATGTTAGCTGTTGTTATTTAGTGAGTTTTGATGTTAGAGGCTGGATAGGATTTAATGGATAAAGACAGTAATATTATAAGTAAGAAGAGTAACTGAGAAAAGTCTCAAAGGTGAGGAAATACAGAGGGTTCAGACGACAGAGAGGGCCAGGCCAGGTTGCCTGCCTGCCAGCGGGGCAGAGAGAGGTGGGGAACGTGGGCTGGATTGTGTTAGGATGCTCAGGTGAGGAGTCTGCACTTGGTCCTCTGGGAAGTAGACCGTGTATTTCCAGTTTGGGGACTCTCAAAATCAGGGTCGTGTTTTAAGATTAACGTGTGGCCAGGCACAGTGGCTCACACCTGTAATCCCAGCACTTTGGGAGGCTGAGGTGGGCAGATCACCTGAGGTCAGGAGTTTGAGACCAGCCTGACCAATATGGTGACACCCCGTCTCTACTAAAAATACAAAAATTAGCTGGGCATGGTGGCAGGTGTGTATAATCCCAGTTACTTGGAAAGCTGAGGCAGGAGAATTGCTTGAACCCGGGAGGTGGAGGTTGCAGTGAGCCAGGATTGTGCCACTGTACTCCAGCCTGGGCAACAGAGAGAGACCGTGTTTTAAAAATAAAAAGAGATTACCATGTCATGTGGGTGAAATTGTAAAGAGAAAGTAGCAGGGCAAGCACCTGTGATGTTGCATATAGTCCAGACCAGCCATGATGAAAGACTGAATTGAGATGCTGGACTTGGCAAAGAAATAGATGTGAATATACGTAAGAAGGAAGGACTTGAGCCACTTGGGAGAGAGAAGCTCAGTCTAGGTAAGACTTAGTAAAATTTTCAAATAAATTAGGACATTTTAAACACGTCACTCAGGCCTGTAATCCCAGCACTTTGGGAGGCCAAGGCAGGTGGATCACCTGAGGTCAGGAGTTTGAGAGCAGCCTGGCCAACATGACAAAATCCCATCTCTACTAAAATACAAAAATTAGCCAAGGGTGGTGGCGCACACCTGTAGTCCCAGCCAGTTAGGAGGCTGAGGCAGAAGAATTGCTTGAACCTGGGAGGTGGAGGTTGCAATGAGCTGAGATTGCACCGCTGCACTCCAGCCTGGGTGATTGAATGAGACTCTGTCTCAAAAAAAAAAAAAAAAAAATCAAAATTTAGGGGATGCAAATAACAAAAAAATAAAATAACTCAGGATTCAAAACTACTATCATCTTAGTCCTTTCTAAATGAAAGAATAATCTATTACAAAAAAAGGAAGTATATATTCTGAGTATAGTTTCATAACTCGAATAGATGTAGCTTCTTGTAAAATACAATCCATTGTGTTTTTTTCCCCTCTTTTTCCATAAACAAGTGAACACTTGTTTATGTAAGAAACAAGTCATTTCTTACTGACCCAGGGAAACCTAATGTTATTCTGTTACAGACATCTCTCTTCTACTCTTTGAGCCTCTTTCCCGTAAGAATTCCCATCATTTAGTTTCTCGATTACTTATTAATTGATAAATAATTTTATTTCGCATTCATTGTATTGAAATCCTTCTCAGAGACAATGGGAATGAGACTAGGCAGTTTTCTTCCTGTCACTTTTTATCTAGTTATGGTGTGATCTTATGAGTCCCACAGGTCTCTCTTCAGCTTCTAAAACTACCCTAGGCTAGGTGCGGTGGCTTACCCCTGTAATCCCAGCACTTTGGAAGGCTGAGGTGGGTGGATCACTTGAGGCCAGGAATTCGAGACCAGCCTGACCAACATGGCGAAATTCTGTCTCTACTAAAATTACGAAAAGTAGCCGTGCTTGGTAGCATGTGTCTGTGGTCCCAGCTACTCAGGAGGCTGAGGCAGGAGAATCGCTTGAACCCAGGAGGCGGAGGTTGCAGTGAGCCGAGTTTGTACCACTGCATTCCCACCTGGGGGACAGAGTGAGACCCTGTGTAAAACAAAAACAAAAAAACCTTGTTCTTTATCTGAAGAAGATTGAAACCCTATGTTATCTACAATGTCAGATGTGGAATGGAGCCTTCTTTGGAGACTAAGCTGTCAAGATGTAACTGAAATTGGGAAATCAGTTGCTAAAGCAGAGATCTTATACCAACAGGGGAAAAATACCTTTATTCCATACGGTGCATTTTGTTGAAAAATATAAATAGTATGCTTCCGTGCATTTAGCAACTGGAGTGACTGATTTGTAGGTTTAAAATTTTTTTAAGTTGAGAAATGTGGAAGAAAGTGGTAGCCTTTTTTTTTTTTTTAAATGAGAGACAGAGTCTCACTCTGTAGCCCAGGCTGTTCTCAAACTCCCAGTCCTAGCCTCACAAAGTGCTGGGATTGCAGATGTGTGCTACTACGCCTGGCCTACATTTCAAGTTCAGAAGACCTCTGTCCCATAAGTAGTAGGAATGATGGCTATATGTAGTTATTTACGATACTCATTCTTTTACCAAACCAAACCTGTAGTTTATAGGTTTTCCTATGGAAGTGTTTGAGAAACCAGCAAGAAACTACTTATCTCCTCTCCAGTTACAGCATCCTGATTTCCATGTTTTAAAAGGAAATAGTCTTTCACTGAGTGGACTCAAGTTTTTAAAAAAAAAGTTGCTAGGCCCTTAATTGTTTCTGTCATTCACTCCTCATGGACAGGACTTGTCAGATTTTCTGGTTTTCATTTGTGTTTTAAAAAATTATTATTAGAAATTATTGATGAAATCCTTATCTTTATTTCCATTTGGTATGTCAGATTACAGAACATAGAATTTTGACCCGATGCTCATGAATGGTAGAAATTTTCTAGAAACATTCATTTTTATAATTTTATGGCTAAAAGTTAGACTCATGGTTGAAATAGTACAGACTGAAAATCCATTTAAGTTATTACAATGTAATACTTTATAAATATATTGAGAGTTTAAAAGTTATTTGTGCTTTGTAGGTAGCTTCTTGTTTTTGTTAAATTATTTACACTTTGTCACAAAATGTGTTGATACAGTTTTATGTTCTGTTTTACATAGAATACTCAATTTCTTCTTTGTCTGTGAATAATGTTGTACTGCGTTAGCAGCAGTTTGTAGTAATTTGAAATAATAAATACTCTCAATCTTGTGATCTAATATAGTTACAGCTTGGTCTTTGATGGAACTAGAATTGTTAATCCTTTCAAATGATGATGAGGCATGCCCTAGACAATACTGTAGGGTAGAATGTGTCTCTGTCAAGTGTTACATACAAACAGTATTCTGTTTGGGTTTCCTTTTAAGTGGATGGGTTACTTCATGTAATGGTATATTTTTTTCTTTTTTTTCCCCATATAGTGATTTTTGTGTAGTTTCCAAAGACTTTCCAACCTAGTAAATAATTTTAAAGTTGAATATGAAAATAAAACATATAACTAGAAGCAGGATGATGACAGTGACTTTGGATTCCTGCCAGCATAACCATATGGCATGTGCTCGTGTCAGCCCCGTGGGTCATCTTGACGTTTTTTGTTAACTGCCAAGATGCTCTCCTACAGTAGCATTTGACATTTCAGAGTTAAACAGAAATATCTATTCAGGAAGATCTTTTCATATAATGGCATGTCATAAATATGGAAGCATGTTTTGAAAAGAGAGCTTTCTCCTCACTCCCTTTTTTATAAGTAGTTGAGGAAAAAGGGTCAATGTTAGGTCTGAATGTTCCTGGTGAGAACAGGAGTCCAGGCGTTGAGTTTCATGTTCTGGACCTCTTGTCAGTTTGTTCTTGGTTTTTCTGCTGAACCTTGCTTGAGCACTACTGTGGAGCACAGCAGCACTGTTGTCTCAGAGCTGTCCTCACTGTCTTTCTTTCTGTCCCTGATGGTCTATTTTGTTTTATTCTATATAAAATATCCTCTACTTTTTATGTGAGTATTAATCATCCTACTTAACTTGTAGGTTCCCCACCATAAGAATGCCATTAGAAGATGTATGAAAGCAGAGCATCCCATATGAATCAAAGCCAGATTTTATCCGTAGAAAACGTTTCTAGCAACATGGCATCAAGGTGACTCATCAGAATTCAGTGCTAGCATATAGAAATAATTTTTTGCTATAATTTTTTCTTTTGCAGATAGATGTTGATCAATACTCAATGTGTTTATCAGCTATGAATCCTAGTTAGGATGACATTTTTCTAATATATGTGGATCTTTTTCTTCATCAGTGATCTGAAGATAAAGGTTGGGGACAGGCACATCAGTGCTCACAAGTTTGTCCTGGCAGCCCGCAGTGACAGCTGGAGTCTGGCTAACTTGTCTTCCACTAAGGAGCTGGACCTGTCAGGTGAGCCTTTGAGCGATGAGGGACACGAAACTGCTAGTGGAAGAACTCTCGGCAGAAAGTTACAGTGTCTTATTTTGAAATATTTGTGATTTAATGAAAGTAAAATAATTTTCTTAGCAATTGATGGTGACAATGAACTAGTTAAATAATTAATGAATCAGGAGGTTATACTTTTAGGTGCTTTGTTTACCTACCTATTTAGGAGGTAATACCTGGCTAACAAATCATAAATGTTTGAGTATCTGCAATGTCCTTATGATTTATAAAATGTAAATATTTCCCATACACTCATTTCATGAAAAAGTGTGCTACAAATAAGGATTCATGTGCAGAAAAAATTTTTCCCTCAAATCTAATAAAAAGTCCTGCCATCAAATTGCCTAACACTTAATACTAGATGCCTGAACTCAGAACAGTTACTCTAAAGAATAATAATAATCTTTCTTTAACATCAAAGGTTGACCATTAGCCTTCAGAATTTTAATAGGTGTGGGTTCCTGTATCAGATGGTGGATATGTTCATTTGCTTCATTTTAGTACCCATTTTTTACTATATATGTATCTCATAGCATTGTGTGGTATAGCTTAAATATATACAATCTTTTTTTTTTTTTGAAAAGAATTTTAAGGCTGGGTATGGTGGCTCATGCCTGCAATCCTAGCACTTTGAGAGGCCAAGGTGGGAGGATCACTTGAGCCCAGGAATTCAAGACCAGCCTTGGCAGCATAGCAAGACCCTGTCTCTACAGTAAATTAAAAAAAAAATCAGCTTGACTTGATGGCATGTGCCTGTAGCCCCAGCTTGTTGGAAAGGTAAGGTGGATGGATTTCTTGAGCCAAGAGTTTGAGGGCACAGTGAGCTATGATGTCACCACTGCATTCCAGCCTGGGCAACAGAGCAAGAGCCTGTCTCAAAAAAAAAAAAAAAAAATAGCTACGTTGGCTTATTTAATGTTATTATTTGTTTTATATCACGCGCGTGTGTGTGCGTGTGTGTGTGTGTGTGTGAGTGATTGAAGCAAATAGGACTAAAAAACAATCATTTTCAAAAGTTGACCTGAAAGTTGCATTTTCATTTAGTACTTGCCTGACTGCTATTGGGAAAAAAGGGGCAAAGAGCAAAGTTTTAATTTAATTCGACTGTTAATATTCGTGAGAATTATATGGTGAGGAGAACGACAGGGATGTGTTCTGAGAAATGTGTCACTACGTGGTTTTGTTGCGCGAATATCATAGAGTATATTTACACAAATCTGTGTGGTAGAGCCTGCTGCATGCCTAGGCTATATGGCATAGTCTGGCTCCTGGGCTACAACCCTGTATAGCACTGGATGCCATAGGCAGCAGTAACACGGTGGTAAGCATTTGCATATCTAAACATAGAAAAGGTCAGCAAAAATGCCATATTATAATGTTATGGGACCAACATCGTGTCTGCAGTCTGTTGTTGACCAAACATAGTTACGTTGCTCGTGACCATACTTGCCGATGTGCTTGTCTGAGTGAGTTACATCTTTGTTTAGAAGGTTTGTCAGTGCAGAAGGCACTACTTTCCATGTGCAGTGCCAGCATCACTGGGGTGATGACACAGTCCCTGCCATATGGAGCCCATACTCTGCTGGAGGAAGCAGGCCACAAACAGGTCATTTCAGACCAGGGCTGTACATACAGAAACGTGATTCGCTTACACGTAAGGTTGAGGAGAGACTCAGTTGGGGTGATAAAGGAGGGTTGCATAGGTGGCTAAAACCTGAGCAGTGTTGTAAAGGCGAAGTAGGCACTTATCTCACGGACTAAGGGGAATGTATGTCAGTGTTCCCCCACTGCAAGTGAACTCTGTCTCTTTATGATAATTTCTAGGATTTAACTTGAGATCCATAACTAAAAGTTATAGATACAGATACACATATACACCGACACGTGTGTACGCCTGCATGCCAGAGACTAAAAACATCTACCCGGGAAATAGTGTTTTCCTGGAAGGGCATCAGTTCACGTGATCGAAATCTCAGGCATAGCATTTTTTTTTTTTTAAAGCATGATGTTTTGAAGCCATATATCTTTGACCTCATATGTAACAGAATTATGGACACCTTTTAAAATTCATAAGACCATTTGGTGTTTTTCGCAAAATGTATGGTAGGATCTTGATTATATGAACAGAATGTTTATGACGTCTAGAAGATAATATATGGAAAATATTTGACTTTGTTAGAAAAAAGTTAAGAATAAGCTACCATCTTTTGATAGCTGTATAATCAAAAATTGATGACCCCAGTAGTTGTGAGGCTCATGAAATTGGTATTCTTGTACATTGCCAGCGACATTATAAGTAGATATGATAGTTTTAGAAAGGAGTTAGGCAGCTGAGCGGTGAAATATTCTTGCTTTTTTTTTTTTCTTCATTATGTGTCTTCCGGGAATCTATCATAGGTAACTCAGACAGTGTTAACGTTCCTCAGTTTTTTTTTTTTTTTTTTTTTTTTTCGCTCTTGTTACCCAGGCTGGAGTGCAATGGCATGATCTCAGCTCACTGCAACCTCCGCCTCCTGGGTTCAAGCAATTCTCCTGCCTCAGTCTCCTGAGCAGCTGGGACTACAGGCACACGCCACCATGCCCAGCTAATTTTTTGTAGTTTTAGTAGAGACGGGGTTTCACCATGTTGACCAGGATGGTCTCGATCTCTTGACCTCGTGATCCACCCGCCTCGGCCTCCCAAAGTGCTGGGATTACAGGCTTGAGCCACCGCGCCCGGCAACGTTCCTCAGTTTTATTTGTAATGGTGAAATATTGACTGCAACCAAAATGAATGAGAATGGGAAGATAAATCATGGCTGCTCTCTGGAACAAACAAAATTGCACAACACTGAAAATTACATTAAGGAATAAAAAGCCAATTTTAACATTGAATTAAAAAATTTTGCTTTTCACTGAACTTTTTTAGCACATCCAAACATTTAGAGCTTAATTCAGTGCTGTCTGGCCGCAAGATTGCATCACTGTGAGTCAGGAAGCTTTTTCGAGTTGAGGACAATAAATTGTTAATGTCTTCAAATGTCTCTAGACTCGCTCCAGTTGTAAATAGTAAGTTTGTTTTGATCCTACTATAAGGTTTATTTCAGGAGTTATCTACTTCAAAGCAAATGGTTTTTGTGGCTTTGGTAGATCAGGTATCTGTGAAGATAGCTGATGGGAGAACATGTGGCATTTTTACTGTTGATGACATTTTTATGAGGGGTATCTTTGAAATGTGTTATGGGGGAGAGGTCCAGGGTGGTAGTGGCACGTGTGGACCTGTTCATGTCTAATTGTGTGCTTTGTCCAGCAGTCCTGCTCACTGCCTGGGTGGATGTGTGATTGCCTAAGCCTGGGGTTGCAGTTTCTGGGACTGGCTGGGAAGCCTGTGTGTTATGTGATACCTGTGAGCACTAGCACTTCGTGGCTGGCCAGCAATTTGAGGAAGATTGGAAATACGTTCTTGTAAACAGGTGTATAAATAGCACAAAAGCTATGTTTTAAATGCCCAAGTGTTTTCCACACCAACAAATGATTTGATAAAATCATTTAATGAGTTTATTGGTGTTTTGTTTTTCAACATTAGTCCATTCATATAACAAATATTGAGTGGTAAGCACTGTTTAAGGTGGTAGGGATACAAAGTGTACAAAGTTAAATTCTTGCTTGCAGGAAACTTACATCTTAGAATGTAAGAAAAGCTCCATATGTTTCTTTTGAAGATCTTGTCTAATTTTTCTTCTTCTTTTTTTTTTTTTGAGAGGGAGTTTCAGTCTTGTTACCCAGGCTGGAGTGCAATGACGTGATCTTGGCCCACTGCAACCTCTGCCTCCTGGGTTCAAGCAGTTCTCCTGCCTCAGCCTCTCGAGTAGCTGGGATTACTGGCATGTGCCACTCTGCCTGGCAAATTTTGTATTTTTAGTAGCGATGGGGTTTCTCCATGTTGGTCAGGCTGGTCTCAAACTCCCAACCTCAGGTGATCTGCTCGCCTCGGCATCCCAGAGTGTTGGGGTTGCAGGTGTGAGCCACCACACTCGGTCCTGATATTTCTTAAGATTAAACACAAGTTTAATCCTGCTGTTAGTTATGATTTTTTTTGACCTTTTTTTTTTTTTTTTTTTTTAAAGTTTTACCCGGCTTGAGTGTTGAGGTGCCATTATGGCTCACTGCAGCCTTGACCTCCGGGCCTCAGGTAGTCCTTCCCCCCCAGCTTCCCGGTTTTTTGGGCTTACGGGCTTGTGCTACCTTACCTTGCTCTTTTTTTTTTTTTTTTTTTTTTTTTTTTTTGAGACAGAGTCTCATTCTGTTGCCAGGCGCAAGGGTGGAGTGCAGTGGTGCGATCTCCGCTCACTGCAACCTCTGCCTCCCGGGTTCAAGCAATTCTTCTGCGTCGGCCTCCCGAGTAGCTGGGACTACAGACGTGTGCCACCACACCCAGCTAATTTTTTTATATTTTAGTAGAGACGGGGTTTCACTATGTTGGCCAGGATGGTCTTGATCTCTTGACCTTGTGATCTGCCTGCCTCAGCCTTCCGAAGTGTTGGGATTACAGGCATGAGCCACCGCGCCTAGCCCATTTTTTGTATAGTTGGGGTTTTGCCATGTTGCCCAGGCTGGTCTTGAACTCCTGGACTCAAGGAATGCTCCTGCTTTGGCCTCCCAGTGTTGGGGTTACAAGCGTGAGCCACTGCACACAGCCTTAATTATGAGAATTTTAGCACATGCTGATGAAATACAACAGGCATTATGTACTTTAAAGGTATTTGGGTATATGAATCATATCTTGCTCAAAAAAGTGAAATGTTTGCACCTGATGTGATCCACTGATAAAGGCACAATCACTTCTGTAGGATTCTTTTTTGTTTGTTTTTGAGATACCGTCTCACTCTTTTGCCCAGGCTAGAATGCAGTGACATTATTGTGGCTCACTGCAGCCTTGAACTCCTGGGCTCAAGAGATCCTCCCACCTCAGCCTCTCAGGTAGC